GTTTAGAAATCTCCACTAAAAATAACTTTTTTGTGCACAGACTGTTTAAGATATTGTCCTTAATTATTGTCTTTGAAATGACATTATTTCCAGAGGATAATCAATTAGATCTCCAGACACTTTTTAATGCAAACAAGACGCTTCAACGAGCGTTCAGTTGCTGGGCAAATAATACCGTAGCTAGTAGGCAATTCTCTCTCTTGTTCCAATTATGGCGTTCATTAACGAAGCAGAGATGTGTATGTAACAAGCCATGCCAAGCATTAATCGATAATAACTGATAAGAACAGACGTACTCACTAGATACAATCATTTTCACTCCCAACAAAACCTAGCCTGTTCATATATTGCGAGTTGTTGCTCAACATGTACGTAAACGGCAGAGGTATAGCACACATTATTGCACCTGGGAAAGAACACGAATGAATTTAATATGTTGTTTTACATGAAATTAAATCGAAGAGATTAAAAGAAACACAAAATAGGTTTGTCATAATGACAGGGATCCGTCAAATTTCACTCAAAATTTCCATCTGCTAAAAGGCCATTTGATATTTGTTGAAGGACCTTATTCTATTTGAATAGATGGAAATTATCGAGTGTAAATTTAATATACATTTATTAGACCTAATCAGATTGGAAAGCATCGGGTCTTCAATAGCATCATGTGCCAGGCCAATATTTTACGATCTGGGACTCATGCACAGTACATATTGGACATATTGGACAGTAGCTTATCGTGGCTTTTTTCTTGGTATATCAAACTTTTTCAGATGTTTTATATTTCTCAATTTCAAACACACAACAAATGTTATGGCAAAGTAATCAAAAGAATTTCTAACATTATTCATTAAGACAATTTTTTCTACCAGTTTTGTTTAAAATTATAAAAGCGCGGAAAAACTTGTCTTCGCGAAATTCATTTGTTTACAACAGTCGCGAGGTTACTAATATATAGTTCTTTTCATTAAATTAGGTCTAATTACATTTTAACATAAGTGGAATTGAAGTTTTTTATTGAAGTTTAATAACTTTATTGTTTAGTTATTTAAGCAAACTCGCCGCCAATGTGTGATAATGTTATCGCTGTATTATTCTCGCTGTATTATTATCTCTTATACTATATTATATACACAACTTGCTGTTATAGAATTGTTTTGTTCAATATAATAAAACACTTATTGGATTCATCTTATTGGATTCTTCTGAGCCCAATATAGCAAAATATTAAGTCTCGACTTCAAAATTAGGCTCGATTTCGGTCTCGCCCAATATTGTCTCGACCTTATAATATTTTGCTATATTGGGCTCAGAAGAATCCAATAAGATCTAATACATGACTGCCTGATTACCTGCATATTACTGTCTAATACAAATGTTACAGAGTAATTTGCTGCGAATTGATTTATGCACATCTTAGCAATTCCATTTATCAGATTTTTTTATAAAAACTCTTGTTTTTACTTTTTTTTTCTTCTGTTTTTTTTATAAAAAGTAGGTTTTAAACACTGTATACTTTCGGACCTTGTCATACCAATTCAATTTCAACATTATTAACATTTTATTTACTGTACATTTCCTGATTTTAGAGGCTGATTTTCTCTATTGTCATATTTGTCATTCTAACAAACGAAATCACTGCAGGTATAACTAGTAATTAAATATTTTTAAAAAAATAAAATTTTGTGCATGTTTCGTGAACTATAAATTGAGTAAATATTTCCTTCGACATGCATACTTTCGCTTACTTCGAGTACGCATGCTACACATTATTAAGAAACTCCTGTCGAACACCTCCACCAGAAAATATTTATTCACCGAGATTGCCGAAAATATTGCTCCCACAGAGAAATATTATGTGGCCAGTTTTCCGAGCGGAAGGACTACAAATAATCAACCATCCTGAAATATCCAAAACCCATAGAAAACATTGCCGTATGACTTCTCTAAGAAAGTCTTGTTACATGGTACAAATGCCGTTTGTCTATATTGAAAAATTTAAAGCTGAGATATATTGTGTCCGACGTTTCGTGCCACAATTAGCGAGGTTTACAACAAGTGATCGAAAATGAGGGGAAAAACAATACCTGCACGTGTTTAACAAATGAATGCTTTTAGTAGATTCCTTGATTTACGATGAAAAAACATTTGCCGGGAGTTTCAAACAGAGGCGTATCAAGCGAGTGGGAGAGGGATCCAATTGTCGAATATACAGAACAATTACGCTTGCGGTTCGATCGGCCGTCTGATCCACTAGAAAATATTCCTACTTTAGGGAAAAGCCGTTTGATGTATTTTAGACACGCTTTATGACAATCTGAAAGCCACAGATTTGGTATATCATAGATGAAAGGATTATGAGTTCACGCCTCTTCAGTTTCTCTTCAGTTTTGGAAGAATTACAAAATTTGTCCTGAAGGAAAGTTGCGGGTCCTAAGCCACAAACCCTCTATGGTTATGCCCCTGATTTGACCTTTTAATAGCTATGATTTATTGTATGACTAATTTTACGTATCCTAGATATTGACGAATGTGCTACTGGAACAGACAATTGTCATGCTGAGGCGACCTGCACTAATACAAATGGTTCTTTTGTCTGTGAATGTAAGGAAGGTTTCACAGGCGATGGCGTAGTTTGCCAAGGTAGTGAAGAGTTTTAAAACTGTTTTTATATAACCTCAGGTCCACAAATAACAGAACTATGTCTTTATTATTTCCACGGCAAAAGTACTGGATAAAATAAGAAACGGCTTTAAAATAAGATAATTTGGAGTGGTACTTGTGATCTAATTATTCTAAAAAGTGTTCTAATTGTTTTTGTTGTCAAAACAAGTAGTATAGGGGAGAGGAGTTCTGGCGCGGGTGGTGCACTAAGCACTACCCATGACGTCATTACAGTGTATTTCATCTCATTTACATGCGCTTGTAAAGTATCTAAAGAGTGTGGGTCAATGATTACTAGCATTTTAAGAAAAAATTTAAAGTTTAATACTTTGCTAATATTTATACCCACATATATTCCTTCTAACAAACCATAGTTAATAGAGGACAGGGTTTGGAAGGCCGGCAAACTTCAAAGGCTTTCGAAGCTTGCATATTACAGAGTCATTAAAAAGTGGGCCTTCGCTCGAAACGTCGAGTTTCTGCTTATTTTTTAAGGTAGTAATATAACCACTCAGCACAGCATTTTAACCCGCCCACCCCATGTGAATAGGAATCATCGGGTGGTCAGTAATTTCGAAAATGTAGGTTGCTTTTAAACTATCGAAAGAATGCGCGGAATGCGTGTAGGCGAAACAATTAATGCTTAGGCGAAACAGTTACAGGCGAAACAATGCTTGGGTCATTAAATTTTGTTAACGACCTTGTTTACTCGAAACCGGTTTTTGTGACGACACTTGCCGAAAATTTCTCTTCTTTTCATTGAGTGAATTATCTTTGTTTACGTCTTTCAAGATGCAAAATTTTCCTTCCAAACATAAATTGCAGCGTTTTGACCCCCCTGTGTACGAAATAGCGTGCTTTAAAATTGACCATTTGATGGTATAATCTTGATTGTTTTATTTTAATTTCCAAATATGTTTCGAAAGTTCCGTTTTGTTTGAGTCTTTTTTAAGACGAAAAGATGAAGTGTGGTTACCGTAACGTTCCTTAAATGTAGTCGCTGTCATACCAATGTAGTGTTTAGTGTCGTTCGTGACTGTTGCTTTGTAAATAATGTTGTTGGTCATGCATTGTTTCGGTAGTGGGCAAGTGTTTTTGTTGTCGCAGGTACAGTTGTCAGTTTCCGTATTCTGTGACTGTCTGTTCCTAATTATATGTGCGTTGAGTTTGGTGATAATAGATAATTATATGATGATTAAAATAGTCTTTCCTTTGACTGTGGATCGTAGATCTCCGCTTAAATTTGAAAACACAGTAATTTCTAGTGATGACAATAACTGTTAATAACATAAGCAGTTGAACAAATGCTATCAATTTAGACTAAAATGCCGTATAAATTTACGGATTTATACTTCTTTCTATCACAATATTTTATTTAACGGTTTCAAGACGATCTTTCTTCAAATTCCATGAAACGTTGTGTTAACAATGCGGCAAAGACATGGGAGATGTAGATAAGCGACGGCGATTCTTTCCTGGACATAAAAAGGCCAATGTTTGCGAAACCACTGAATTATTGCAGTAATAATTGGAAGAGTTCGTTGTAGTAAAACTACACTAACATTCCAACAAATGTTGTTTGCCGTTCTTGTAGGAACAAAAATGCCGCCTTAGCATGGCCAGAAATTCCGGTCATGGGAATCAGCAGTACGCCAGCGGTTTTCGCCATGGGGCAAAGTAACATGACGTATTCGAGCCGAATTTAATCCAATATGGCGTCGCTAACGAAAGAATCGAGGAGGCCACATAAGGGATATTACAAGCAACTGGAAAACATTTCTTCTGTAATTATGTATGAAACAAAACCTAAAAGACCAAAAATCAAGACGTACCCTAAAAAATTTGATGTCGAAAGGATTATATCAAGAAAAATGCAGAACAAGGTCAGTTAATACTGATTCAATGGTAGTCATTCACTTGTTCACACGTCATATTTTACATTTTTGAATCATTGTGATTGGCATACTGAGACAATGTCTGATGATACTGAATATATTTATTGCTATAAAAATGTTGAAAGCCGTGTCAGCTACAGTTTTTTTGCACTTCAGGAGGAATACTACCTCATCAAATGGAAAGGTTGGCCCATGACCAGCTGCACTTGGGAACCTGCTTATCATCTTACACCAGAGTTACTAAGGTAATTTGTACAGAATTTATAAGTTGCTAGGGTTCGAAGAATATTTGCATTCAAATCTGAAATTCTCGCTATTTAACTCGAAATAACTATTAATAAATTGTACATCTTAAAAATTTTGTGCAAATGTTTTTATCAATTTAAAATTTATATGCTTTATTTTATATATTAAGAGTTACCAAAATCCATTACGACCCAGTGAAGAACGGATTGCAGAAGCTGGTAAACAATTTTATTGTGGGATAATCAATCGGCCATATACATATGGATGGATCAAGATATTTGGCGCTACATTGTTCATGGCAAAGGGATACCATCGCAACACAGAGGTCATCAAATGCTCCAGAAGGATGACTTAAATAAACTTTCCCTGCCAAATCATTGGTGGTATTATTTAGACAAAAATGGTGAGGGCCAAGCTATAGATTTCCCCTTGAAAATCAAGCCAGTTCTGGGTTGGACGCCTGCTTATTACTCAGTTGTCAACTGCAACATTGAACCAGCTCCAAGAGTCCCACTTGAAAAACTATGCATAACTATTGTTAAGAAATCATGCAACATCCAAAACGTATCCAATAATTAAATGTAGTTTTACTCGGAAATTTCCAACAAAACATTTTCCAATAACTCGCGGAGTTTGTTGATATTTCTAAGACGTGTTGTAATACCCAAGCCATTCAAGTGTTGTTTGATTTCTAGTGCTGTCATTCTATCAATGTCAACACTATTCGTTTCACTTGCATTATTGGTACAGCTAGATACAACAGTCAGCCTCTGTCTTGCCCTTTTTGCTTTTATTTCATCATCCCAGTAACTCGTGTTTTTCTTTAAATATGCTCTTGCTCTTCTTTCACACTTACTGAGATTATCCATTCTTTTGCTGACTTTTAATACGTCGGCTGCCGCATTCCACTTGTTTGATTTTTGCAAGTGAAACCTGCGGCAAACATCATTATTCTTCTCAACTCCTGAAAAATATGGACAATTAATGTTTAGATTTAGATAAGGTTTGGATTCCAGTACGAAACTGCAAACGTGACCGGTGTAGATAGCGGAGTAGGGGGGGGGGAGGCCCTTCGTTGGGTTAGATTTCAGTAAGAGTTCAGCATCAAGTTCAAAATTTAAATTGGAACAGGAGATTTTGCAGTTGCCCTGGAACTGGAATATTAGATCTATAAACCTCTCTAATTACA